TTAGATCAATAGATAGGTAGATAGATATGAAGAGATTTAGATAGATAGATAGATAGATAGATAGATAGATAGATAGATAGATAGATAGATAGATAGATAGATATGAAAAAGTAGATAGATGAATATGTAAAAAGTAGATAGATAAGAAAAAAATGTAGATAGATATGAAAAAAAGTAGACAGATATGAAAAAAATGTAGATAGATATGAAAATACATAGAGATAGATATGAAAAAGCGAAGGAAATAAAAAGATAAATAATGTAAAAAACATAGATATAAAAAAAACGTAGATAGATTTAAAAAAAAAAAAACGTAGATATAGATAGAAACATATGAGAAACTGATTTTGGCGTCCTGTTCGTCTGCTTTAATCTTCCGAATACCCTTGTCTGTAATTATTATTTTTAAGGATATAGCCGATCATGGCTCTCCACATATTTCTTTCTTTTCTTTTTTTTTTATTAATCTTAAAAATGATTACCTATCTTAAAAAAAAACAACTAACCTATGTAGATTTTATTTTAGGCGTAATGGTGTATGTTATTTTTTTGAAAAAGCCTATCAGAATGAGCACAACCTTTAAAAATTCCAGTAAAACTTGTTGAATGGGAATTCTCTACAACTACTACTAACTTTGGTTTTTGTTTTCTTTCTCCCCGCCAACTTACTCTACCTTCCACTCCTCCTATTCCCTTCTGCCATTGATGAAGGGGCGGCTCTGAGAGTGGGGGCGGTTATTTATTCGGAGTGTACAGTGCCGAGAAAATCTCCTCTAACCACAACCGCTACTGCTGCTGCTGCTGCTTTTATTGTGTTTATTTAAAGTTTGTTCTATTCTACGTCCAGAATGAAGGTCTGTTTTGGCACTCACACATGTTGGACTTAATGTCCACAGAGTTATAAAAAAAAACAAAAAAACCCCAAAAACTCTCGACAAATTCAAGCCAAAAACACTAATTTTCTTTTATAAGTTTATCTGGAGACGAAAAAGAAGTAACGCTTTATATTTTAATTAAAAGAAGAAGAAAAAAGCAAAAAGAAAACACGGAAGTTGGTTACTACGAAATCTAAAAGAAAGGAAATTTCCGACGAGTTTTGATTTGGGAAGCGATTTCTGAGATTTTTAAAAATATATTTTTCTTTATCTTTAACTAAATGACAAATTGAAACATTTTCAGTATTTAACCTGGACATGGCTGGATATTTATTACGGACTTTGATTCTAATCAGGTACGTTTCTTTATCAGTTTATCACCCATTCATTCAAGACATTTCTTTCAGCTATATCACATCGTAAAATAATTAATTTGTTTTCGACTCCTTAAACATTGTAACTTAAAAATCTATTCCCGTTCATTTTTTCTCAGTTTAAATATTTATTCAAACATTAATAATAAAATTAAGCCTTCTTGGAATAAATCGGTAGTTGACAATTGAAGTCGAAGAAAGAAGAAAAAACAAAAAAAAAACAAAAAAAACAAAAACAAGGAATCAATAATAAATTCTTGTCTCTAAGAATGTTAAAAATATAACTTAAATTTTTTCGAGAACTTTTTTCCCCCCAAAATATTCTTTGACTGTTTTACAATTAATTTAATATTTCTTTTTCAATCTTTAAAACATATTCTGATTGATTCTCATTTGTTCTTTCTCTATTGAATGGGACTTTTATAAGTTTTAAATGAGTACTATACGTTGCAATTGTTATGTGTATTTAGCCTCAACCATGTATGTTAGTCGGAAGTCTTTTACAAATTTACACAAGTTACTGGCGGAAAATTTAAATTTTGTTACTTCAAACAGATTTTCTGTGCCTTCAGAATTGATATCTTTATAGTTTACTTAGAATATTTTTCCTTTATTTTTTTTATTTATTTATTTTTTGATCAATCCTTTTTTGGCACTTGTGCGGTTGGCATAATGAATGAATAGACTAATTAGGGAATCAAGTTCAAATTTCGATCACGGTAGTTAAGGTTGTACTCATTTGACACTCCTCTCCTCGTGAGATGCATGAACACCCTCTCCCAACAGATCAAACTAGGGATTATTACTCCTCGCTGCTAAAAAATTCGGCATGCAACCGGTCACGTGTTAATTGGGGATAAGGTCATTGCCATTTACCAACACCAACCACGATATTATACTGAGAAATGACCCAGCGTGCCAGCCGATCTGACCACTTGCTTCTCGCACCAGAGTATTTTACTTTCGGTTCTTATTCGATTCTATTCTCTGGGAACCGTCAAAGTTGTTCAAAATTGTGCCCACACCCCCTCCACACACACCTGGAAACCTACCAGTCTGGTATTCTAACAATGTTGTCAGGGTACCTGGCCGTGCCTGGGTCTGTGTCTGGTTTTTTTTTTTTGTGGGGTAGGTGGGTCGATACTTATCTCCCCCTACATTAAACTCTGAAACATGTCCCTTAGACAATTAGACCTCAAATAAAAAATATAAATAAAAACCAATAATTAGCGTAAAATATAATCTACAACTATTTTAAAGAGAAAATGGCTTGACTAGTGTTTCCGGGCACACATTTCTGGAGGTAGACAACGGCTTGTAAAAATAATTGATTAAAAATGGAATAAGAAGCCTTTTTATTTTCTAGGGATGCTATTTATTTCATAACAATATTTCGACACGTCTACTTTCAGGCCTCATTGAACAATCGGATCACCGTAATTGAACTGTTGTTACTACTTTATCTACCATTAATTTAAACTGAATATAATTGCTTATTGAAGCCGAATTTGAACAGTAATAGGTGAGATTATCTTATTTACTGTAAATAAGATAAAAAAAATCTTAGAATAAGAACTAATAATGTAAATAATTTATTCTAATATTTTCTTTTTTACTTTTCCTTCGTAATTCACTCTACGTGAGTTAAATCAATTCCATTTTTTAATAAACAGTTTTATTCAAATTATCGTCTTCCTCCAGGACCGTGGGCTCCGTAAACTGTCGTCAAACCGAGAAAATACCTAAACATGATTTTTTTTTTTTTTTTTTTTTACTCTTTCTTTTTGTAGCTTCTTCATCTGTACTTGTCTTTCCTTAACTTTTCTAACAAAATATTATTGGATATGGGAGAGTATTATTTAAAACCGCCTTTCCAAACCAAAAATAAAACCGCTTACCATGAACAGACACAGCATGTACAGATCTTGCAGTAAACTGCATTTTATTCGGGAAAAGCAGACAAAACATTTAAATGAATCAGATTTCAAACTTTCTCTTCAATGAAAAGTTTAAAACCCCTAATTCATAAACTTAACCTACTCAACTCAACTGTATAGATTTCAAGTGGTTTTGCTTCATCTTTTGCATTTCATTTTTGTTCTTTTAATACAGAGTCATCTAAATATTATTTTCTCTGATAAAAAATAAGGCTATAGTACAATGGAATTGGTAAAGAAAGAGTTCGAACTTCAGCTGAGGGTGCTTAAGATAATTAGCATTAATGTCCATAGGAAAGGCATGAATCCATATCCCCTTGTGTCTTAGCATATATTGTGGTAAGACATAACCCGAGTTAGTGAACACTTTGTTAAACCATTCTCTCATAATTATTTTGCATCCCGGTCAGGTGTAATAGTATAAAGTTGTTACGTTCATTGACAACCTTGACAATACTTAGTTTTTATTTTATATATATGTATGTGTAGGATGTGTGAACAATGTAACAGGTATCAGTATGTCGGCGAGCAGAGTTCCAATTCAAGGCTAGTACGTTGCGTTCACTTTCGCATAAATATCCTTGGGGACGGTACGAATCCGTCACTATGTCCCCAGATATGGGTTAAATAGCAGATTAGATTGGGCTCCCTAGTCTTGAATGTAACCAGTGTAAAAGAAGGCAAATTTCGAATTTTAAACCGTAGAGTAAGCAACGAGAAACCACTCCAATATATTTTCCCCAAGTACGTAAGCAATTCACAGGTAATAAAAAAAGGAAAATGTAGAGAATCGTGATCGCCTACATCCTGGAGCGGTATGGCATTAAAGAAAAATGTTTGTGATTGCATCAATAAGTCTATAGTTTAAATGATAGTGGGTGAAATATTTTTATAAAACTGTCAGTGCCCTTAATCCAACGTTTCTTCGTAGATCATAAATCGGCCTGTGTAATTTTTGGAATTGAGCTGCGTCAAGCTTCTATGCGCCATGTCTCTTCAGGACTTTGACGATCATGGCTCTCCACAATTTCCTGTCCTTTGTAGCTCTTAATAAATTGCCTTTTTTATCTCTCTTAAATCTTTCTCCGTCATCAATTTTACTCAAGATTAGGTGCTGTTTTCCTGTGTCTTGTGGATATCAAATTAAACTAATTTTATTTATCAGCCCTCGTGTGTGTTTGTGTGAAGATATAAGCTGTCACGCCTTTTGTCATCCTTGACTGTAGCACGTCTAACTGGCTCAGACATGACTAGGCTAATGTTGAAGTAATGTTTTTAACAAGAACCTCTTCATGTATTTGTAGAATATTCGAAAACTATTCGGGTTCTGTTATGATAGTTAGCATTCTCAGAGACCATCTAATTGATTAACGATATGATAATAAAAAAAGCATCTGTTGTGGCGTGATTCCTATAGGTTGGTCAGTAGTTGCCTGATTAGTTGGGAATTCTCTGCACTGTGGGAATATGCGGATGTCATTGATGTCAGCGTCTCTAGAATAGATACGTTGTCTTTTAACCTCCACAGTTCTCGTTCATCATCACGATGGAAAATGACCTCAAACACAGCAAAGGAAACTGGGATTATAACCAATTTCCTTTACTCTTGCCAAGAATGATTATTACGTTAGATTAAATCAATAGCTTATCACCACTGTACGTGTGTTAATCGATTCCATTTAATCAACTGTTTCATTCAAGTCGTTGTCTTCCTCCGCGGCCGTGTGGGGCTTACTCTGAGATTTTGGCAAAGTATTAATTATCGTAAATATTATTGTAATTTGGAAACTGTTTACGTTCTACGTCTGTAAGGCTTACGGCCATATTACTTTGAAACCCCGGTTCTCCTACGATCACCGAAGTTAAGCAACTTTGAGCCTGGTCAGTACTCAAATAGGTGACCGCTTGGGAATACCAAGTGATGTAAGCTTGTATGTGCGGGCGATGTAATGAATAAAGGATCGAAATTGGAGATCGTAGAGCAAAATTCAAATTCCAGTGGTATTCGTTATATTTACTTGCGCGCGAATACCATTGGGGAAAGGTATGAATCCACCTCTTCTCCCTAAGCTATGAGTTACTTAGTATCAGTAATTTATTATTATCTTCAAAACATTCTTACAATCTAAAAATATTTTCTGGCTTTAAATAACTTGCAAAAGGTTGATAAGTCATAAAAAACAATCCATCAAGGACCGTGTAGTAAACTGTAGACAAGCCGAGAATATAACTAAACATGAATTTAATCATTTTTTATTCTTTATAGCTTCTTGATCCGTATTTGTCTTTTCTTGGCCTTTCTATCAACACATTAGTGGGTATGGAAGACTATTATTTAAAAAAAAATCTGCTTTGTTTAAACAGACATAGTATGTACATTGTATTATCTCCAGACCTGGAAACATGGATGTAATCATTTTTGGCAAGAGACAAGAATGATTATTACGTTAGATTAAATCTATTCTTTGTAAATTTATCAAAAGGAACTTTTTACATCCAAATGATATTAAATTAACACTCTGTTATTCCACTGCTAAGGATAAAAGAGTGGGTGGGTGGGTGGTGTAATAGCGACTCGGTAAAAGAAATCAGTGACTTGAGTTCGAATTCCGTTCGAGGTCGTTACGTTCACTTCATCACAAAAAAACCTTCAGAGCAATATGAATCCGTTTTTTCTCCCTTCCATGCTATGGGTTAAATAACAGGATTGACCGAGCTCTCTTTCAGTGAGGTGGCAACAAGTCTTGGAGAAAGAAGTAATTAAAAAAAACAGTCGGAACAGGGATAGGCTCCATCAGGTTATCTTACCCTAGACACACCACTACTACTATGACGGCAGTAGATGCCCCTACGACCCTTATGAGTTTCGGCACGAAGAATAAGAGGTTCTTAATGAAATAATAGCAAATGGATTTCTAAACCCGCTTATGGTAACTTTAGTCTGGACAATCTTCATTTATACATGTTTCTATAAATATACTAATATGTTCACAGCCTAATCATAAAAAAATCATTTGTTTTTACACGACAAATATTAATTTCTCAATATAATTTCCTTCTTCATAAATGCTCTTAGTTCAGTGGCAAATATTAATTACAAAATTCAAATAATGAGCATTATACAATGAACACATACACAGAAAATTTCAAATAAGTCACCTAATAAGTGCTTGTCACACCGCGAACTTGTTTGTCCACTTTTGTATTTTGCTTCTAGTAAATATAAGTAAAATATTTTACGCTTGCTACTGTGACAATATCTATAGAGAGATTTAAAAATTAAAAAGTAATCAATCTGCTAATTGAAAAAAATACGTTTGCAAGTCGTGAGTATATTACTTCTTGAGGCAAAGTCTCTCACTAGATTTAACTGTCTTAAATCATTTTTGTTGTCGCAAACAGACACAGAGTATTATCAACATACACAGACTATTATTAATAAATCTTCATCAAATTATAAATTTGTGTAAACAGAAATATTACTTCATCTTTTAACTAAACTGGAAATTTTATATTTCCTGACGAATCTGGTTGCAATTATTGGTTCTTTAAACAAAACCTAAAAAAATCATAAATTTCACCATTTTTATAATATAGATAAGGAAAACTGATTGACGTACTAAGATAGATAAAATATGAAACATGGACTGACTGAATAAACATCAATTAAAAAAACACTAGCTTTCATTTGTAAGCATCAAAAACAGTTTTATTTCTTCTTTCTATTTTTTTTTTCTTTAAATCGAAGTTGTTTTTTCCGCGATTTCGTTTTCATAAAAAATTGTTTATTTGGCAAGAAGGTGACATTATTGGGGCGATGCAGGTCCAACACTGATTCCTTTATGTTCTTCCCTGAAACACAAACCGGGATTGTTTTGATAATTTTTAACTTCTCCCCGAATAACAAAAAAAGTCACATTATCATCTGTGAAGAGATTATATTTGCCTTTACGCATGAGTAAACCCAACACAAGGACCAGTTTAATATTGGGCCTCCAAACACGCCCAGTCCTCACTGACCCGCTCCCAAACGATCATCGAGAATGTGCTGATTGGGAGACTGACTTCCAACGAATTAGGCTTTGTATCTTTTACTATTTGAGTTCATGAATTACTCAAAAATAAAATGACGATATTTACGCGCTATCGTTTGGGACATCGAGGCTTTGATAAGTCCCAAAACAATGAAGAATTCAGAAAAGTATTCTTGATAAATCGTGTCTGCGCGTGCAGTGTTCAAATTTTGGCGGAGGCTTTTGCGTTCACTTCGTGCCGAGCACATTTGGAAAAGGCACGAAACCATTTTTCCTCCTAGCTACGGGTAAATAATCGGGTAGATTGGACTTTTTAGCTTAGATAAGTCTCGGTGGAACACAATTCTAAATTCAAAACCGTGGAAAAGGCAACGAAAACCTTTCTTCTTTTTTTTTTTTCCAAATACAAATGTACACCCAATACAAGGCCCGAGAGCCACTCAAAATAGAGGGTCATTGTGTGGCTTTGTGCATAAGAAAAGTCAAGATGTGCAGTTCATGAGATTATGTAAGAAAGATAACTGTTAACCCTAGAGGTTAAGATTAAAATGAATGGGAGAGCGTCCTGCCGGAAGTCTGTTCCCAAAGTAGTAGGAATTGTCGAGAAGCTGTCCGAGTGGAACTTCTTATTAATGAAATATGAAGGGAATGGGGATGATTTGTCCACATGTACGTGGCATGGCAGGTTACAGCTGTAACGGTCAGGGCTAATGTGACCAAAGAATTTTCCAAGAAGTCATAGCAATTCAAATATTAAAAAAAGGAAGCTGTAGTAGAGATCCATGACCGTTTACGTACGGAAGGGACACGGCATTTTTTTAAGTGCTGCTCCAGATTTTACAAGATTATTTTTCCGAATTTCTGAGGTTTTCTTTTCTATATTGGTTGACGGTCATTCCCAAAGAATGACATCGGACATGACAGTTCTAGAAATGATTGGATCAAATAGGGAGTTCTGTTTAATGCCTCTGAAAGCTTACCAAATACGACAGACTGCTGAAGAAGTCTAGATAGTACAACGGCTGAAACGTCTTAATTACCGCATAGCAGTCCTTGACATCATTACATAATTCTTACAAATTCTCAGTTTCTCTCCTGTAAAATGATTTGTCGGGTAGTTAAGTAAAATCATACAAATTTTAAACCCGGAGGTTTAAGTCTATGGGGCGGCAGTAAGATGTATATTAGACTTGTACTGATTTTTAAAATGATCGAAGTGCGCTTTACTAAGCGTAGCTTATATATCGTACAAGGCCAAAAGTATGAAGCACTCAGCGAGGATCGAACACACTGGTGGGGTGGTAGCACCTGTTAGTCCTACCTATGGACAAATAGTGAAACAAAACTCTATGAAAGCATAAAAATACATTTTTATATTGTAAAATGACCAACAATACATTTTATCTGTAGTTGAAGGCATACAATTACGTTTAAAATATATTTAGTTGAAGCCATAAAATTGTGCTGAAAATATTTAGATTTCGGCATTAAATAACCCCTAGAGGTTGATATGCCACTAAGAAAAATCAACTAACAAACACACTTGTCAGTCGTAATTGATCGAGAGAAAAAAAGTTTGTTGACCATTACACAACGTCGAAGTGCCCATACTTCATCGAAGAATGATGATATCGATCAGATTCATGTTGCTAAAAAATGGTGATAATTAGATACTCTGAGACTTTGGCCATTTATTAACGTAAATGTTACGTTTATTTTGAAACTGCTCTCTTTCTACGTCTGTGTGGCTTACGGCCATATCACATAGAAACAACGGTTTTCGTACGATCACCAAAGTTAAGCAACGCCGAGCCTGGTCAGTACCTAGATGTGGGACAGCTTGGGAATACTGGGAACTGTAAGCTTAGATGTGCGCGCAGTGTGATGGATAATGACTCACGCGAGAGTCTGGTTCCTTATATTCACTTACGCGCAAATACCTTTTGGAAAAATCATTACCCCCCCCCCTACTTCTCTCCTTCCCAGATATGGGTCAATTAGTAGGAACTATATCAATAAATCATTATCTCCAAAAAATTCTTACAATCTAAAAATATTTTCTGGCTTTATGGTTGATAAACCGTAAAAGACGAATCGATTAATCTACGTCTGTATTCAGTTCGGTCAATAATCCTCGTTGACACAGAATCTCGATTTACTAAGCGTAGCTTACATGTGGTACAAGGCCGAATTTATGAAGCACCTATCGAGGATCGAACTCGCTGCTCAACCGCAATTGATCTAATGAGACAAGATTGTTAGCCATTACGCCATATCGATGTTCGATTGACACAATTAAACTTTATATCTCATAGTCCAGTTCAATTCCCACAATTATTACGGAGCTGGAAGCAACAGAATTTGTTTTTCTTTACTTTCACGAAAATTCCAATTGAAGCTTTTTATTTATTTAGAACGTCTTTCTCTTTTAATGTTTCTGCTATTGGTAAGGAATGACTAACTGGTAAAAGAATAAGGAATGACTAATAGATAAAACCGATTTCCTCGTTCCACAATGAGCACGATGTCGTCGGTAAATTAAAGGTCACCATTTGACCTCATTTCAATGGCCACCGCCTATTTTAGTAATTAGATTATGCTGTCTAAAGAACAGAAACGAATATCATTGCTTGTTGTTTCCCTGGAATGGAATTAAATTCCTCTTAATGTTTCAGGCATTTTTTATTCGTAGTGATGGAGTGGGGTGGCAAGAATCTCAGAATATCACAAAACTATTTAGTTCACTTTTTTTTTTGTCAGAAACTAGCCGACGGACCTCATTCAATTTTAGTAATTTCATTACATTCTTACATATTTCATGTTCCTCAGTTACAGCTTGCAATGGTAGTAGTCCTATTATATATTGTTCGATAGGAATCCCATTCAAATCTTATCGAGAAGTCAATTCTTTATTTGTAGATCAATCCCTGTTTAAATAAAATGTAAAAACTACTTTTTCTTCTTCCATATTGTTTGTTTGTAATACCATGTCGTGACATAGGCAATGATTGCTCTCCCCAAATTCCTTCACGTTATTATCTTTGAATACCATCAGTTCTTGGGAAGGATAGTTGAGTGGTTTCCCGTTGCCTTCTCTACAATTTTGTAATTCGATTTTCCTTCTCTTAGGATGGTTTCCAGTTTATTATTTAACTACTAACTGGGGGAATAAAAAACGGATTCATGTCTTTCCCAATGAATTAATTTTCGAAAAATTAATGACAAAACTTTATATAAGAAATTCGAGCAAACGTACAAAATGTTGATTATTTACATTATTCGGACTATTGTCCTCATCTTTGTTGCCATATTTATCATAACGTTTCGGCCGTTGTACGCTCTGGCCGTCTTCAGGTGATTGGAATATCGCACTGAACCCTTTATTTCGCTCGCTGGGGTAGACTGTTTTAGTTCCACGTGCCATGTCTAATGGATGTCAGTTATCAGTTATCTCCTGTTATTTCACCTCTCCAAGTCCTCCACTGCCTTAATTAGGTATTGATCCTGTCACAGGATCTAACCAACGCCTTTATCCACTGTACCATGTGTCCTTAAGGGCATCTGTGTATGAATTTCTGGGACTTAGAAACTTAATGTCTTCAGCAATCATTTTTATTTTATATTGCAATTTTTGCTGTAATCAATAGTCCGAATAATGTAAATATTGTACATAATACCTCATCTCAGAAATATAGACAGATACCAAAAATGTTGATATTTTTAAAAACGAGGATATTATAGATGACAGTAAGTTGCCTAAAAAGAATATAAAAACAGATGTAACAGTAAAACTACTACTATCACAAGGAATTACTTGTACGAAGAACTTAAGGTCGAGTAAATGAATAATTGGTATCAGAACAAAGAAAATACTTGGACCTTAACCGGGAATTAATGAGATTGGGTAACACTGGGGAGAGTGAAAGATGTTCACATGATAGTTAATGAATGTGGAATTGTGGGAAAGAGAAGAAAACGCACTGGAATCGACATTAGATGAGTAAAAAGAAATACTGAGAAAGAATTCCTTGTCCATACAGTAGCATGGTTGGGGTCAGTGAGGATAATAAGGTACTAGAGACTGCATATGGACATTAAGGTCAACACCGAGTGACAACAGTCTGTTTCATGCTTGAACGCAATTTTATGGCCATCTCCATGATCAGACGGTAGTTTATCCTCCAAAAGGGAACGCAGGTTCGAACTCTGTCGGAGAACCGGAAGATTGCCGTCAAGCGAGAAACACTGTTGCCACTCGGTGATGGCTTTAGTATCCACTCAGACACACGAGTGGATGTGTGTTCACCAAAAGAGTAATTGAAATCTTGCTAGGCCGTGACGCACTCTGTTGCTGAGCGGTCTAAAGCACACTGAATATATATATATATATATATATATATATATATATATATATATATATATATATATATATATATATATATAATTTACTAATGGTATATTAATTCCAATTGTACGAAAAATTTTGGTCTGTTTAATGAAAATAAACATTGAGCGGACTTTGTGAGTCAGTTTTAACATTTAATATTTCAAATACTATATTTTGTTAATAGGACTCGCTTGGGTTATACCAACGGATTTGTGTGTATATATATATATATATATATATATATATATATATATATATATATATATATATATATATATTCTAGCAGATACGACTTAGGTGGAATGGTCATGTTGTGAGAATGGATGAGCATAGGCTTCCAAAAAAGGACAACTACCAAACTCCAAGCGTTCAGTTGGACGTCCACTCTTACGCTACAGAGACAAATCGAAAGACAATTTGAAACGTCTCAACTTCGATCTGAAAAACTGGGATGCCTAAGCATCAAACTGAAAGGAGTAGCGTAAGACATGTTTCATTAAGTTAAAGGGTTTTGAAGACAGTAGACTGAAGTACCGTGATCAGCTTCGTCAAGCTCTGAAGCAGAGACGCCATCAAAATCCTGCTTTAACAAATTTCATTTGCCATTGTGGCTTTGTCGCCCGCAGCAAGGCTGGGCTAGTATCGCATTTAAGAAAGCACAAAGGAAATGTCTTTCCCTTACCTGATTTTCTCCACAATAGCCCCTGCTAGCATGCATAAGTGTAAAACGAAAGGCACCATCCAATGCTGACCCTCATTTATTGCTCACGATCGGAGAGTTTATTATTGTTATTGCTATAGAAAATACGTGTCCTGACAGGAATCAAAATTCTGTCCTACGAAGGCCACATATTTTCTACGAAATTTCTCAGACATTTAGGCCAGTAAATCATTTAACTCTATTTACATTATTCGGACTATTGTCCTCATCTTTGTCGCCATATTTATTACAACGTTTCGGCCGTTGTACGCTCCGGCTTTCTTCAGGCGACAGAAATGAGGACAATAGTCCGAATAATGTAAATGGTGTACATAATACCTCATCTCAGATATATAGACAGATACTGAAGGATCGGATAAATATGCCAACAAAGATGAGGACAATAGTCAGAATAATGTAAATAATGTACATAATACCTCATCTCAGAAATATAGACAGATACTAATTATAACTGTATATTATAAACAGGGCATTTACTTAAATATTTGTATCTATAAAAATAGCGTATAAACATAAAATATATTAAAATAATTGTCGGACTTAATCCATTACATTTTATATATATATATATATATATATATATAAACGAACTATTGAGGTTGATGCTACTCAGCAAACGATAAAAAGAGTTTCTTTTTTCCCGCAGACTTGTGTTAACCGAGTTTAGAACAGCCTAAAACATTTCCTGTGTAAACTCTCTTTCCTCCATAAAAAAAAGCCTACACATGATAATCACTATATGTAGGCCTGTTATTAATTCGAACATAGGCAGTTACTTATGCATTACGTATAATGATGTTGGCATCAGGGAAAACTGCGTACTGTTACGTTTCGAAGTTACTTGTAAGTTTCTTTGCAGGGCCAAATAACAGGCCTCGTTTAATGAGGACTTACTTCATGCATGTATTCTATCAACATAAATGAATCTGGTTATTTTTTTTTTTTTTTTTTTTTTTTTTAATCATTTCACCCAAGCAAGGCAATGCAGCCACTAAGACACAAGTGGAGGGGGTACTGAGTGTGAGAGAATGCAAGAACAAAAACATTAAGTAGAGAACAATAAAAGAACAGGAATTAAAGCAGATGATAACGATTAACATTGCATTTAAATCTTTGAAGATCAAAGTCGACTAGAAAGAAAGAAAGAAGCCGGAAGAAAGTTCGACAAGCGAGAAGAAACTGTTAGTATAGAGCTTACGGTTACATCTACCCACTTCAACTGTAAAATGATAAGACCTTGCCGCCAATCTAGTACTCTGCTTAAATTCATAAAGTCTAGGTACCAAAGAGGAAATCTCATCAGAACAATTATTAAAATATTTATATTAAAAAAAAAAGACACAGAAAAGGTACGTTACAGCGGTTGGAAATTGAGTGAAGCTGAGATGCTGCGTTGATACCGATAAAATTGCAGATTCTTTTTTTTATTTTATCTAGAATTTACATAGCAGAAGATATGGCAGCAATGTTCAATGCATGTACGACTTATAAATGAGTAAGATGGATTCAGTCGATAAAAATTGTCTAATCCAACACAGCGAATCAACTTTCTGAGCAGCAGATCTCAAATGTTCAAATCCTCGGTCACGGTGACTTATGACTTCGTGCAAGCTCGTCTATTAATAGGGATATCGCAACGGTGCCAAACACTGGGACCATCACCTCCTTGATAAATCTGTCATGTTGCGGGTCTCATGATCGGAATATTAACATTCTAACCATTCAGTCACGTAGCTATATAACGAGAAAAGTAGA